TTCAAAAAGAAGAAAAAAAAAAAAACAAGTCTCAGGAAAAACAGGTACCCACAAGGCAATAGTCTGACCTTTTCACTAGAATACGGAAAGGAAGAGCTACTTATATGATAGATGCCTCTAGGAAAAGAATTCAAACTAAAAATGACAATGCTTTAATTCTAGATATCAGAAGTTTAATTAATATCCTATTGAATGAAATCATAATTATACTTTATAATATAGTAGGAGACAAAATACTTGCAGCAAAACTACATTTTTTCAGAGGACAAAGAACAGAGCTAGAAATAATCTTCAGGGATGAAGAAACTCTACAAGAATATGTCGCAGAGGGGATTATCATCTTTAAAAAGACTCTCTTAGATTATACTCCTACTAATATGCAAAGAACAAACCTTTCAGTGAAATTACATAATGTCCTAATAGCAGAAAAAGAAACTATCTCTAAACATATCAAGGAGGCTATAGAGGATTTTGGTACCATTATATTAATTAAACCCCTTGTATATAAAGGAACCCTAGTTTTATCTAACCAATAGATAGTAGTATACGATACCACAAATGATCTATCTATTACAGAAAGATTACCTCATCATACACATATTTGGAATCAGAAAGCTATGATTGAATAGTGAGCTTCATCTAAACTGTGCTTTTACTGTGATCTTGAAGGATATATAAAGGGAGACTACCCTCAATTTAAAGAGGCTATAGAATTAAGAAAATGATACAGAGAATATAAACTTAATCAAAGTTTACCAAAAAATAACAAATCTTCACTTGAGCCACCTGTAAATATAGATAATAACTCTAGTCAAGAATTGGATAGTATGAAGAAAAGCCAGGAATTAATCTCCAAGATAATCAGTAATGTAACCTCAGCAGCTATGAAGAAAGAAATAGTAGAGGAAACTTTATCTTAAAAATCAACTAACGAGGAGGTACAAGAAATCCAAACACAAGAAAATATAGTAGATCAATGTAGTCAAGTTGAAGATCAAGAAATGATAGAGACTTGTTACAATGATCATGAAGGAGTTCAAGAAGTGCACATCACATCTGAGGAAGGATTTACATCAGTAACAGTGTTAGGTTACAAGATAACAGCACAGGGTGCAATTGTTCAATATTTTTGGAAAGCTACTATTCTTAAACTTCAAAAGCAAATAAAAAAGCTGGTGCAACGGAACCTTTCATTCGAAGGGAAAATCCTTCTAGCAAAATCCTTAATAATCTTAAAGATATAGTATGTTGCCTACATAGCTCTACTAACTCGTAAACAACTCATCATACTTAACGATATGCTAGAAAAGTGGATTAAGTCGAAATCTAAAATACTTCCAAAATATAAGGTATTTTAACATCCACTAAAGCAAGGGGGCCTTAATGCTCCAAATTTACCTGATATGATAGATACACAGTTATTATGTATATGGATTAAACTTTTAACAGAAAACAGTTTATGGGCCAGAGCAGAAAGATTAATATCTGAAGGGGCGATAAGGAATAGCAGACGTATTGTAGTCAAAGCAGCACTTAACAACAGTACCATTAAAACAAAAGGTTGGCCAGAACATTGGAAACCTTATGTAAAGGCCTGGGGGCATGCAAGAGGCAAGGTAGGGGACAATATAGAGAACTGGCCATGAAGCAAAAACAGTATTACAATAGCAAATGAATCAGAGGAGAAGTTCTCGATCAAGAACACGATTAAATTCCTAAAAGAAAGTACATTACAAAACACAAAAAACCAAGCCCGTACAGAAGATAACACACTAGTAAATATCTGGGGATAGATGAAAACAAAATGGGTCTCTAACAGCAAAAAAGATATATATTAGCATTTGCAACACAAAGCTCTCCCATTGGGTTTCAGACTAAAACATATGAACTCTCGGGAATTAGGAGAATGTCCAAGCTGCCCTGGTGAAATCCAAACTATTGATCATTTTGCCCTTAAATGCGAAATAAGTAAAAAAATTTGGAAATTGGCGTTAGACCTGGTTACCCCTTCAGCCTATATAAAAATACCAAATGATCTTGATGAAATGTTTGCTGACCAATACCCAGGTAATACCCAATTAAGAAACTG